GGCCGGTCGGAACAGGGCCGGTCGGAACAGGGCCGGTCGGAACAGGGCCTGGTCGGAACAGGGCCGGCCGGAACAGGGCCGGCAGAACAGGGCCTGGTCGGAACAGGGCCGGTTCTTTCCGTCTTCGATCATACCACTTTTGGTGGGTACACATTTCTTTGTGAGTTCTGCGTGATTAGCCAGGAAGTTTCCAGCGAGAGAGCGAGTCCTAGCGAGAGAGCGAGTCCTAAGTAAATGTGAAGAAGTCCCCCAGCGAACGCGCGATTCCTGAATGGCAAGAGCGCGGCGCCTGAGTAAATTGCGAGGAAGTCTCAGGCGGGAGCGCGATTCTTGAGTAAATTGCAAGAAAATCTCAAGCGGGAGCGGGGGACCCGAGTAAGTTTCGATGAAATATCAAGCGGGAGCAGTTGTTGTTCTTGTAAACTTGGCGCCAGCGGCCCAGTTTGAGGAGGAAGACTTTCCTTGATAAAAAACCGGTTGCGAGCGCCGGGAGGGGTTCTTTAATTGAAAAAGTACCATGTGCATTGGGGGGATCAACAATAATCATTCTTCAATTGCACCAACAACAACAACAATCATTTTAAGACTGTTCGCCCTTATCCGTTCGAGTGTCCAATAACGCGTATTTCCCAAACCCTCGATACCCGCCCTCTTCGTCTTCGATCGAACCCCTTTTGGGGGGTATACCTTTCTTCCCTGCAGGCCGGGCCCCGGCAAGCGGCGGGGCGGCCGCGGACCGTCGGCCTGGCCAGCGGCAGCGCTGATCGGCGGGGCGGCCGCGGACCGTCGACCCGACCCCAAGAGGGACGGACAGGGGACCCACCGACGACACGACGACGACGACGACGACGACGACGACGACGGCGACGACGACGACGGCGACGACGAGCGAAAGCGAGAGCGAGAGAGAACGACAGCAGGGCCACGAAGGACACGAAGTAGGCCACGAAGGGCGACAGCGGGGACACAAAGGGAATGCGCATGGGGCCACGAAGAGCGCGAATGAGCGGGGGCCACGAAGGCAGATAATGCGGGGCCACAGAAGGCAACGATGGGGCCACTGAGGGTAGCAACTGGGCCACATAGGACAGTGAGGGGGGCCACAAACGGCGACAGCGGGGCCACAAAGGGCATGCACATGGGGCCACAACGGGCGCGACTCCTGGGTGCCTGGGTGTCGGGAGCGCGGCGCTTGAGCAATTTGCAGGAAATTCCAACGCAAGGGCGCTGTTCTTCAGTAAATTACAAGCAAGTCTCCAGCGAGAGCGCGACTCCAGAGCGCCGGGAGAGCGATTCCTGAATAAGTTGCAAGGAAGGCCCAAGCGAGAGCGCGATTCCTGAATAAAATGCGAGGAAGTCTCAGGCGGGAGCCGTTGATGTTTTAACCTAGGGGCCAGGGGCCCAGTTTGAGCATCAAGACTTTCCCCGTCAAAAAACAGTGTGCGAGCGTCGAGGGGCACACTTTGATTTCGAGAAAACAGTATGCACCCGTGGGGGGGGTCAACCATAATTATTTTCAGAAGTGAGAGTTCAACCAGAAGAACAACAAGAACAACATGCCCAAGGGTGCCCAAAGGTGACCCAAGGGGGCCCCAAAACGGCCCGACAGACTTCCGAGACGGCCCTATAGCGCCCAAGGCGGCCCAGAGAGGTCTCCCAAGACGGCCTCCGAAGGCGCTGGATGGGCCAATATCGCCCCAAGACGGCCCGAAGAGGCTTGAAGAGGTCCCCGAGAAGCCCAGGCCCCAAGAGGGTCCAAAGAGACCACCAAGAGGTCTCGCGATCCTCCTTGCTGGGGAGGAGGAGGAGGAGGAGGAGGAGGAGGAGGAGGAAAAGGAGGAGGACGGGGAGGTCTTATTTTTTTATTATCCCAGATGCCTACGGCGAATCACCGCCGCCCCCCGCCTTCTGGAATCGCCGAACGCTGTCGCAAGAGCTCTGCCAAGCTGTCGGACCATGTTGTTCCCCCAGCCGTTGTGGAAACCCTTCGGGGAACACTTGCGGAAGGATGGCGGGGAAGATCAGGAGGAATCAGGAGGAAGAGGAGGAGGAGGAGGAGGAGGAGGAGAAGGAGGAGGAGGAGGAGAGGGCATCTTGGGAACCTCTGCGGGCACTCTTGGGGCCTCCTGGGAGCCTCTTGGGAGCCTTTGAGGGTTTATCGGGGGCTGATTTGCCCGTCTTAGGGCGTTCCTGGCCCGTCTGACGCCGTCGGAAGCCGCCTTGGGGGCCTCACGATGTTTGCTTGTTGGGGCCCTCTTGGAGGGCCTCTTGAGGCTCTCTTGGAGCTTCTCGGCGGCGTCTAGGGCCTTCTGGAGACCATCATGGGCGTCTTGCAGCAGTCTTTCGGCGACTCGGCGCCCCTTGGACTGTCTCGGGGGCGTCGCGGAGCCTTCTCGGCGTGTTCCTGGAGCGCTCTGCGAGGCCTGGAAGGCAGCCTTCTTGGGTCGTCTTGGAGCCCTGTTGGGCGCAACTTGGGGGCATGTTGGGCCATCTTGGAGCGATCTTGGGGGCTCGTGGGCAGTCTTGGACGCTGTGAACCTCCAGGCGTCGTCCATGCCAGATATTCACGTGTCCCTAAGGAAATGGGACGTTGTTTGCTTGTTGGGGCCCTCTTGGAGGGCATCTTGAGGCTCTCTTGGAGCTTCTCGTCGGCGTCTAGCGCCATCTGGAGACCAGCATGGGCGTCTTGGAGCAATCTTTCGGCGACTCGGGGCCCCGTGGACCGTCTCGGGGACGTCTCTGAGCCTTCTTGGCGCGTTCCTGGAGTGCTCTGGGAGGTCTGGAAGGCAGCCCTCTTGGGTCGTCTTGGAGCCCTCTTGGGCGCATCTTAGAATAGATTGTTAACCAGTTACCGGAGATCTTAGCACGCCTTTGGCCTGGTGGGCCGGCGAATTCGTCCTATTCATATTATTATGTGTTCTAGTTCGTCCGGGGATGATCTGGTCCCTTCCCCTGAGTTTTTGCTTGGCCCCAAAACGACCCAGGATGGCCTGTACTCAAGACGACCCCCAGAGGGCCCCAAGATGCCTCAAGGGACTTCCAAGACGGCCATGCAGTGCCCCAAGGAGGCCCCAGCACGGCCCAGAGATGTCCCCAAGACGGCCTCCGAAGGCGTCAGACGGGCCAGGGGCGCCCAAGACGGCTCAAGGGGGACCCAAAGAATCCAAAAGACGTCCAAGGTGAGGCCCCAAGAGGCGCCCAGGAGGCCCCAAGAGGGCCGCAATAGCACTTACAGAGACTGCCTCCTCCTCTTCCTCCTCCTCCTCCTCCTCCTTCTCCTGCTTCCTGTTGTTACTCCTCCTCCTTCCTCCCATCCTCCTCATCCTCATCCTCTCCCTCTGTTCCCACCTGACGGCACCGCGCTATACCAAAGTACCACGTTGACGGGCGCCGATTGGCGCCGACACCTGTCGAATGAAGAGATCGTCTTTCGGGACACTCTTGGGGTGCCTCCTGTGCCTGCTCGAAGCCATTCTGTATTCCTCGTCGAGGTCTCTTGGGCGTGCTTGTGGCCAAGCTGAGGCCTCAGGGCCCATCGGATGCGGAAAGGCGAGAAGGCCAACATCACTAAAGCAGAGCAGATGTTGTTCCATGATTCTGACTTATCGGAGGTATCCTTCATGTCTGCTCGGGGAACTCCGTGGCCACTTGGAGCCGTCTTGAAACAGCCGTAGAGCCTCTTGGAGGCATGTCGGGGCCATCTTGGGTTGTATTGGATCATCTTGGGGTGACAGGGAACCTTTGACGCCTCTTCCCCCCCCCCGGGCCCAGGCCAGGGGAGGGGCGCTGGGGAAGGGGTAAGCCCCCAGAGGGTCTAAACCACGTACCCCAAAGAGCTGGTGGTAGGGGCTTAGGGGACAGAGATGCCACGGGAGATGTATATCTCCTCAGAGTCTCTGGAGGGGCTCCTTTCCGAGTTGGCGGGCAAATTCGGGCTCGCCCGCAGGAGCTTCCGACCCTGATGTCTTGGATCTGGAGGGCCCCGCTTCCTCCATCCCCCCTCCTCCCCTGCGCCGCTCCCCTCCCCGACCTGCCCGCCCCGGGCATCCCTGGGCCCGCGCTCCGCCAGCCCGACACCGGTCACGGCACCGCGAGCGAGCTCCTGAACGGCAGGAAGGAGGCTCCCCCGCGCGGAGACCGCAGGGACGCGCGCTGCGGAGGCAGCAGGAGCAGGAGCAGGGGAGGCGTTCGAGTCGATGAGCGAGGGCGCTCCGAGGGGCACTGTCAGCTCCGCTTCTTCGCTGGATCTGTTCTGGCCCTCTCTGCACAGCCAGTGACGCGAAGGGGAGATCACCCCACCAGCCAGTGACGCGTGTGTACTCAGGGCCAGCCAGTGGCCTTCGGGTATTCAGGACTGAATGTGTGAACGTCCGCAGCAACAGCACCTTCGGAATGCAAAAGCATGTTCCGGACCTGCTCACTGACTCGCCGTTCCAAGAGCTCTTCCTACTCCGCCGTCCATGCCGCGTCCAGACGCCGAGTTCCTCGAGGCCAGAGGCGGACCATCCCGCAGGGGCTCCTGTTCGCTGTGTAGACGTTTTGTCAGGGTTGTGATGGGGCGGCGTGTGACCAGCCAGCGGCCAGGTCACAGCCATGCTCGGTGTGATATAGCCAGGTTGTGGCCAGGCGATCCTTGCCCGGCAGTCGCCCATGGCGGTAACAGAATCCGAGCCATGACTTTTAGTCTCATTCGCTAACTGCCTCTCGCGCGCGCTTCACGAAGGAGGGGAAGCAAATATGTGGCAGATTCCGTAAGGGTAATTAGGGCGCACATTGTCTGGCGGCCCCAGAGCCAGGTTCTGTTTTCGTGGGAAGGTATTATACCGTGTGCCCGTCGAAATCATTTCAAACATCATGTTTGAAATGATTTCGACGGGCACACGGTAATATCAGGAAGCCACAGGGCACCCAGACCGCAGGGTTTGGTTGTGGGGCTTGCGATCCAGTCGTTGGGTGCCTCGGAAAAAAGGCCCTGCTGAATGGGCGATTTGGTATGAGTTTCTCATGGCCTGCTTCTGGCCCAGTTACCGGCGAGAATCAGCCCACGAGAGAAAAGCCCGCATAAGGTTTAGTCTAGAGGCCAGCATCCAAAATTTTACTGATTTTGAGAGGCGCGAAGGCTTGGGAAGACATGCTCCTCGTGTGCAGGGGCACGTCGTGGGACAGACAAGCGAGGCTTGTTTCCTGCGCGCTGTGGGTTCTAAAGCGCGTTCCAGATGGCAATCTTGGATGGCCACTCCCCACTGCGCGACGATCGCGCTGTAGTGGACGTCACGAGTGTACTCAACGTGTGCCCATCTCTGTTCGGGCTGATCATTGACTTGTGATTTCGGGGCGAGCAACAGTCTCGTAGTGCGTTAAAGCTCGCGACGTCTGGACAAGACGGATGAGTCCAAACACAGTACTGTTGATGTTTGGCGTTGCCGTTACGACCATCAGTGCATTCGGGAACCTATGCGAATGAAACAGGCTACGCTTACATAAGAGTATGCGTTGCTGACATCTTGGTGCAAGCCATTTGGGCGAAGATTTTGTCGAAAGTGCACACATTGGTCATCAGATGTGTTCGATCCGGCTACAGCGTATTGTTTAGTTGGTCTGAGATTGTAGCAAGGCCTCGGTGTTGATTGCGCCTCATGGTCTGCATGCACGCCGCTGGATGCGAGACGGCGAGAATATCAGTCGGTCTGGTTGTCTCCTTGCGGCCATCAAGAATTGTGGGAACACGAAGCAATGGAGCACAGCGCTGGAATTGCTTTTCGAAGCATCGCGAGCGCGCGCGAAAGTCGGCACAGTATGCTACAATGTTTTGATCTGCACGTGTGGGAGAGACAGGCAGTGGCAGCAGGCACTGGCGCTGCTCAGCGAGATTGCGAAGGCAGAATTGGAGCCCGATGTCATCAGCTACAGTTCTGGGATCAGCGCCTGCGAAAAAAGCGGGCAGTGGCAGCAGGCGTTGTCCTTGCTCAGAGAGCTGGCAGAAACGGAACTGGAGAAAGACGTCATATGCTACAACGCTGGCATCAGCGCTTGCGAGAAGTGCGGGCAGTGGCAGTGGGCGATGTCGTTGCTCGCTGAGGTGCAAGAGGGCAGGTTGGAAGCAAGTGCAATCAGTTACAACGCTGGGATAAGCGCTTGCGAAAAAGGCGGGCAGTGGCAGCGAGCGCTATCATTGTTCCGCGAGTTGCGGGGGGCGCAGTTGGAGCCCACCATCATCAGCTACGTTGCTGGGATCACCGCATGCGAAAGAGGAAAGCAATGGCAGAAGGCGTTATCTTTTCTGAGCGACTTGCCACAGTTGAAGCTAAAGCCTAACATCATCGGCTATAACGTTGGGGTCAGCGCTTGCGAGAAAGGTGGGCAGTGGCAGCGAGCGCTGTCTTTGCTCATGGGGCGTGAGCTGGACGCCTACGGCTACAGCGCTGGGATTAGCGCATGCGAAAAAAACGGGAAGTGGCAGCGGGCATTGTCGCTGTTCGGCGAGTTGCGAAAGGCGAAATTGGAATTGGACGTCATCGCCTACAACGCCGGGATCAGCGCGTGCGAGAAACAGGGACAGTGGCAGCAGGCGATGTTTTTGTTGAGTGAATTGTGGGCAGCGAAATTAGAGCCGACCACCATCTGTCCTTAAATTCCGGTCGCGGCGCGTGCGAGCAGTACGTTCCGAAAAAACCGTTCTGGAGCGCCCCCAAGCGCCCAGAGCGCCCTCGCGACGTTCCCCGACGGGCTCAGAGGGTCGCCAGATGACCCCGAGATGGCCTCAGACAGCCCCACGACAGCTCGGCGACGCTCCGGAGGGCGCCAGGACGGCCCAAGTGGGCCCGAAGATTCGCCAGGAGGCTCCGCAGACGGCCCACGAGGACCCCGAAGATGGCCCCACGAAGCGATACGAAGCGAAAACAAACAAACAAACAAATACCTATGTTGAAAGGTTTCGCACATTCACCCCATGACGGGTCCAGGACGGCCTCAGGGTTCCAGGCCCTCCCAAGATCGCACCAAGATTGCCCAAGAGGACCTCTCACGAGCCCACCAAGACGGCCCCAGAGGGCCCCAAGACGGCACAGAACAGGCCTCGGAGAGCCTAACAGAGTTTCAAGTGGCCCCCCAAAGCGCTCCAGGAGCTGCCCCAGAGGTCCCAAACCAGAGCTCCCAGACGGCCACAGACCTCCACCATTTCCCCAAGATTGCCCACGAGGACGCCCATGAGGCCAAAAATCAAGCAACAATTGGTGATTGGCTTATGCTTTCCCCACTCTCCCCGTGACAGGCCCAGGACGGCCCCACTCGGCTCCAGGCCCTTCCAAGATCGCACCAAGATGGCCCAAGAGGCCCTCACGAGCCCACCAATACGGCCCAAGAGAGCCCCAAGGCGGCACAACACAGGCCTCGGAGAGCTTGACAGAGCTTCAAGTGCCCCCCCAAGGCGCCCCAAGGACTGCCAAGATTCGCAGCCCCCGAAGAGACACTGATAGTTGCCAAGGAGCTCCCACTAGAGCCTCAAGCCCCAGTACCTTTTGTCGGTTCTAGATCACCTCAAGCCCTAAAGAAACCCCGAACCCCTAACACGCCCTGGAAAGCTTCTCTCCCTGTTCTCCTCCTCTTGTCTTCATCCTCATCCTCCACCTCCTCCTCTTTGGTGCCTCCAAACCCCTCTCTCCAGTGTCGCCGTCCTCCTTCTGCTCGCCTTTCTTCCCTTTACCCTCTCCTCGTCTCCTCCCTGCATACCAGCAAGCCTCGCCCCCCCCGCTGCGGCCAATTAGGGGTGACAGGGGAGACTTCCACGACACCAGAGAAAAGCCCAGATCCCAAAGGAGGCCCCAGAAAGCTCGTCTACCCGTTCACTGGTCTCCTCCTCCTCCTCCTCCTCCTCCCTTTCCTCCTCATGCTCCTCCTCCTCCTCCTCCTCCTCCTCCTCCTCCTCCTCCTCCTCCTCCTCCTCCTCTTCATCCTCCTCCTCCTTCTATGCCTCCTCCTCTGCCTCCGGGAGCCTCCAACCCCTCTCTGGTGCCGCTCTCCCTTTCCCTCTTCTGCCCGCGCCAGCGACATCTGCGCGCTCGGGGCCCACACTTCGACCGCCTGCCGTGGACTTTCCACGGGTGCTCACGGGTCAGCTACAACGCCGGGATCAGCGCGTGCGAGAAGGGTGGGGAGTGGCAGTTGGCGGCTTCATTGCTCGGCAAGCTGAGGGACGCGAGGCTAGCGCCCACCATCGTCAGCTACAGCGCCGGGATCAGCGCGTGTGGGAAAGCCGGGCAGTGGCAGCAGGCCTTGTCGCTCCTGGACGAGGTGAAGGGAACGAAAATGGAACCCAACGTCATCAGCTACAGTGCTGGGATCAGCGCTTGTGAGAAGGGCGGGCAGTGGTGGCGGGCGCTGTCGCTACTGCACGAGATGGGACGGTTGGAATTCGAGCCTTGCCTCATCTCTCCTACTGGCCGGGGGCAGCGCGTGCAGGAAGGGAAACGGATCAAGTATCCAAAATCGGCCTCGGTGGGCCCCTGGCGCGGCCTCGGCGGGCCCCTGGCGCCCCTGGCGCGGCCCGGCGTGCATCCGGGCAGCTCCAGCACGCTTCGGGACACTTTCAGGGAGTGCAAAGATCGGGCCAAGAGCCCCAACGCTGCGGCCAAAAATCATTGATTTGATCTATGGTTTGTTGCCTGATTTCCAGGTTCTCGCGATTTCGAGCCAAGAGCGGCCCAAGACGGCTCTTGGGCCTACCCCCGAACGCTCCGAGGCTCACGGATGGCTCCGAGATAGCCCAAGAGCCCCAAGATGGCCCCAAGACGGCCCAAGAGGCAGTCCAGACGGCTCGCGGCGGCCAAAAATAATTGATGTATCGATGATGTTTGCTTGATTTTCAGGTTCTCGCGATTTCGAGCTAAGAGTGGCCCACCAAGACGGCTCCTGGGCCCCCACGAATGCTCCAAGGCTCAACAAGCTCCGGCAAGGGCCCCAACACGGCTCAGGAGTGCTCCAAGACGGCTCCCGGAAGAGCCCTAAACGGACCGAGAGAGATTCAAGACGGCGCGAGAGAGCCCCCAGGAGCCCCCAGACGTGCCCCAAGACACGCCCAAGAGGGTTCACAGAGAGCTCCGAGACGGCCCAACACCCCCAATATGGCCCCTACACGGCCCTAGAGGCCGTCCAGACGGGCCGCGGCAAACGAAATCATCGATTTTCTTATGGTTTCTGACGGAGTTCCACTTTCTCGCCATGTCGAGCCAAGACCGGCCCGAGACGGCTGCTGAGGCTCCCCCGAACGGTCCAAGGCCGTCCAGGGGGATTTAGAAAAGGCCCCACAACCACCCAGGAGAGCTCCAAGATGGCCCAGGAGGCACCCAAGATGGCCCAAGAGACGCCCAAGACGGCCCGATGACAGCCCCAGACACGACCAAGACGGCCCAAAACGGTCCAAGATTGTCCATGAGGCGCCCAAGACGGTCCCAAGTCACCCTGAAGATCCCACACGAGGCCGGAGGAGATCTTCGGCCGCAGGACACGCACACTCTGAACACGCTAGATGACGTGGACGAAGTCCCCGGGTTCGCCCTAGTCAGCTACAATGCAGGAATCAGCGCGTGCGAGAAGTGTGGGCAGTGGGAGCAGGTGTTATCGTTATTTCGGGAGCTGCGGGAGGTGAGGTTGGATCCCGATTCCGTGAGTTGTGAAGTCGGGCTCGAGTCTTGCGCAGACAGTGGGCAGTGGTTACACGTGTTGTGGCTACTCAGAGACATGTGGGAGCGGGAGTTGGAGGTGGACGTCCGCACATGCAGTGCTGGAATCAGCACATGCGAGAAGCTCGGCATAGCAGCGAAAACACACGTTTTTGCTCGGCGACTTGTCGGGTTGTTGCCATCTTCATTGCAGGAGTTCTCACGTTAGAGAAGAAGGCAACGGCGATGGGCGTTCTCGCTCGTCTGATATGCGCGAGGCGACATGGAATGGAGATGCCGCCAAGTATGATATTGGTGTTGTTCAGCCTCAGGCCGGCACGCCCTGCGTAGCGGGTAGCACCAGGCTGGCAGTGACAACAGGCGGTGCATTGACCCGGTGAGTTCGGAAGACGGTGGTGAAGGTCAAGACAGCGGAGCGACCGTTGTCGAGGCTGTGTGTGTCACCAGGCAGACATGATGCCCAGCGAGTTGGAGGGGCGAGTTGCCTCGCGTGCTTTCTGTGCTCGTCAAATGGTCAAGAAGACGTCAGTCAGTACGAGGCACACTTCAGCGGATGCTGACGGCGTGGGCTCCGAACTGCGACGCGGTGCAATCTCGGCGACATTGTTCACGAGGGTGTGATCTATGAGACCATATCGCGCGGGACCCAAAGTTGTAGGACCCTTCCGTCACGGGATCCTCTTGTGTGAGATATTGTCGTGCGGAGCCCGATCGTGTGGAACCACATCGTGCGGGGCCATAACGCTGGGGACCCTACTGATGGACCATATCACGTGGGACCCGAAAGTGTGGGACACTCCTGGGAGTGCCCTCATCGTGTGGGGCACGAACGCGTGGGACCATCTCGTGCGGAACCATGCCGTATCTTTGGGGCTAGGGGCAGTTCGTGAGAAAACAAGTGCCCAAGGAGGCCCAAGCAACAGGTGTTGTTTGAGATGTTGTTTTTTCTGTGAACTCACAATCACGACTTCGAACACTTATCGAGCCAGCAAAACGGGTTTGACGAGCAATATGTTCTCTTTCAATGGCTGACCCCCTCCCCTCCCCCCCCCTGCGTGCTAAGTCGCAGGTCCTTCGGTCTGCATCTTCCTCATTTCGCCCTGGTCGCCCACCGTCGGTCGGAGGCCATCTACGAGAGCTCCCGCCGGGAGCCCCTCGGGCAGCCATACTTGCGGGGCTTGGTGCCGCCGAGACAGGCCGCGAAGCCTTTGGGACGACGTTGCTGACGATAGCGACGATGGAGAGAATGACGTTACATGGTGTCAACAATTGAAATGGTTGTCGCGGTGATGGTGGTGATAATGAAGATCTTGATGGTGATGATGTTGATGATGATGATGATGATGATGATGATGATGATGATGATGATGGTGATAATGCTGCTGTTGCAAATGACGACGATGGTGAAAGTGATGGTGGCAATGGTCATGGCAACGACAGTCATGGTGTTTATGTTGATGGTGACGTTCATTATGATGGTGATGTGGATGTGGATGATGATGATGATGATGATGATGATGATGATGATGATGATGATGATGATGATGATGATGATGATGATGATGGTGGTGATGATGGTAAATATTATGGTCTTGGTGATAGTGGCACTAGCGATGACGATGATACTTATTGTAGTGGCCTTCGGCCAGTGCCGCCGATCCGGGGCGCTCCGACTGATGTGTTCCTCCTTCGCCCTCGTCCCTCCTCTCTTTTCCCTTCCTTCCCCCTTTCATTCCGCATTTATCCAGTGGCCGTCGGCCTATCCCACCACCGTGCGTGGGTGGTGGGTCAGAGGCCTCATGGACGCTGGTAGGGGATATCGTGGTTGGCCGGGACCTCTGGGGGCCTCTTGGAGGCCTCTTGGGGCTTCTTGGGGGCCTCGTGGGCCTCTTGGGGCCACTTGGGGGCCTCTTGGGGGTCTCTTGGGAGTCTCTTGGGGCTTCTTGGGGGCCTCTTCTGGGCTCCTTGGGGCCTCTTGGAGGCTTCTTCTGAGCCTCTTGGTGCGGGAGGGGTGGCACTCGAGTTCGGACCCCCCTCGCAGGCCACGATCCTTGTGAGGGGTGTCAAAAAACGTATCCGCCGGAAACTCGCACCCCCCCCCCCCCACCCCCCCTTCCCCGGCAGAGCCACCCCGGCAACCCCCTCCGGAGGCTGAGGCTCAGCCTCGAGGCTGTAGCTGAGACTCCTTGTAACTCACACGCAGGATCGGCGGATAACGATGATGTTGATGTTGGTGATGATGGTTGTGATGATGACGATGATGATGGGGATGGTGCCGACGACGACGACGCTGACGACGACAGCGACGACGATGATGATGATGACGATGATGGTGATTGTCATAGTGACGGTGATGGTGATTGCGATGATGACGATAAGAATGATAGTGATGATGATTGTGAGGAGAAGGAGGATGATGATTCAGATGACGATGATGATGAAACTGCTGATGTTCTTTATGATGATGATGATGATGATGATGATGATGATGATGATGATGATGATGATGATGATGATGATGATGATGATGATGCTGATGCTGATGCTGATGCTGATGCTGATGCTGATGCTGATGCTGATGCTGATAATGATGGTGGTGGATGTGCTGATGGTGATGGTGGTGATGCTGATGATGGCGATGGTGATGGTGATGGTGATGGTGATGTCGATGGTGATGGTGATGGTGATGGTGATGATGGCGAAGGCGATCATGACGATGATGGTAAGCTTGATGGTTATGATGCGTATGCCAGTGATGGTGAGGATGATGATGATGATGATGATGATGATGATGATGATGATGATGATGATGATGATGATGATGATGATGATGATGATGATGACGACGGTGGTGGTGATAATGATGGTGATGGTGATGACGATGGTGATGATAATGATATGATGATGGCGATGGTGATGATGTTGGCTAATGTCGATGACGATGACGGTGCTGATGATGGCGCAAGGATGGCGAGTGTGAAGACTCGGGACAGAAGAGGCTTGCAGCTCTGGCAGGGTGCCGGGAGGCCAACGAGTCTAGCGACGGGGGAAGTGCAGGGAGCGCATCTGCCGTGGTTGGCAGGCTCTCCACCTCTGGTCGTATCCCGCACTTCTCGTGCGCCTCCGCCGTTCCCCTATCAGTTGTCTACCCTGTTCCATTTGTCTCCTCGCTCCTGCAGGCCCCCCAGGCCTCCGGGAGCTCGCCTACCCGTTGGTCGTGGGTGTCGGCGCGGGAACCTTGTCCATTCCCCAAGGGTCGCAAGCATGTTGCATGTGGGCGCCTGCGCATGCTTTGGGGCTCTCCTGGGCAGGCCGCAGGGTTGGCCAACCCCCCCAGGCGGTGACGTTCCCTCTGCCATGCTCTTCCGAGAACCCACTGCACTCCGCTGGCTCCCCACGTTCCACTTCTTGATGGTTCCGTCCTTCACTCCTTCAGCTGTCTCTTCCTTCCCCTTCATGTCAGCCATGGTCTTCGATCCTGCGTCGTTCACTCGCGCGCACGCGCGCGGCCAGCACGTCTCTCCCCTCAGCGCGCGGGCCCCCCTTCCCGCCCGACGCTGGAGAACCGACGGGGGAGCGCGTGCGAGGGCAGTGACCGCGTGGCAGAGGCAGCAGGCCTGGGAGCACCACGGGGGCTCCTGGAAGACTGGCCCCCGGCCCTCGCTCCCCGTCTGCGGCGGCAGCCACGTCACCGCTGCTCCGGGGCCGGCTCTCGCAGCCGTTGGCTCCGGGAGGTCCGCCGGAGCCGTCCAGGACCTCCCCGGCCTGCCCGCCGAAGGCCGACGGGGGCATTGCCGGCGTCCAGCCCTCGACGTCCCGGGGCCCCCCTGGTGCGCCAGGAGGGGGGAGGGGGGAGGACGCCTCGTTCGGGCTGGTCGCTTTGTCCCGCCCGTCTCCTCTTTCCCCCCTGGTCTTGCTCCTCCCTCTCCCCCCATGCCCGTCCTCTCTCCTGCCTCTCTCCTCTTCCCGCCTTCGTCATTCCTCCATCTCCTTTCCTCCTGCACCCCTCCTCCCGCGACGAGTTCTAGCCGCGCGGGACGCCAACTCGTATCTCCCAATTGTGTCCGTTCCCTGGCTTCCACTCCTTTTGCGATTCTGGTACGCACGTGAGTTGGGCCTGCTGTCTCGGTCGCCCTCCATCTCCGGGGTGCCGTCATCCTGTACACATACGTGTTGTTTTCCAGCGTGGACCCTAAAGAGTAGGTTCGGGCACTCTCGATGTGCACTCTATGACGCGCTATCAACATGGGATGCAATATGTGTTGTGGAAGGTGTGCGGTACAAGAGCAGACCATACCAGCACGACAGACCAACACGGCAGACCACTAGAGCACGGCAGACCACAGGAGCACAGATCATACAACCACACTGCATACGGTACATACCACATTGTACACATCACGTGGCACACACCTCATACAGGGCAGACGTCACAACAGGCGTAACGCATAACACGCACAGCACACGCGCACATGCCGTGTGCCCAGCCCCCGCGCATGCTCAGAACACACACACACACACACACGGCACGCCCACCGTGCGACATTCCAATCGCGCGCCCAGTACAACGCAATGCTCACGACACACGACGCGCATAACACACCCGCACCATCACCAGACAACACAGCGCACAATGTTCTAGAAACCACAGTAACCTCAACATACAACGCACAACGCACGAACACGTTCCGTTCGCGCTGCGAGAAAACAACAAACAAACAAACAAACAAACAAGCAAACAAAGCACATACAACGCACTCGCACACAACGCATCACACGGCATGGCAGACCAGCACGGCAAACCACAGCAGCGCGGCAGACCAGCACGGAAGACCATAGCAGCGCGGCAGACCAGCACGGCAGACATGACAGGAGCATGGCAGACCAGCACGGCAGAGTACAGCAGAACGGCAGATCAACACAGCAGGCCATAGCAGCACGGTTGATCAGACCGGCAGACCGCAGCAGCACGGCAGACCATAGTTGAAACGCGATAGGGCGGCACGGCAGGCCATCACGACGGAGAATCCTCGCGAGTTCAATTTGCAAAAGCGACGCTTCCCGTTCTTGTCCGGTCGGGTTCCCCCAAAATTGCAGTTTCGCTAGGAACATGCTCCAATACTCTGTGTCGGAGGGGGCTTGGAACCAGCATCGTCTTGGAATCGCTCCGGCAGGATTTCAAAATTGCACAGACGTCCTTAAGAGGCCCCCGACGGGCTCCCAAGAAGCGTCCAAGAGGCTTCTAAGAGGCCCCAACAGGGGCTCGAAGATATCGTTGTCATCCTCCTCGAGAGAGCCTCGTCCTCCTCGTCGTCCTCCCCGCTCTCCCCCGCCTCATCCACGCCGTACTCCTCGTCTTCCACGCTGCCGTCCTCCTACTCCTCGTCGGCATTGTCTTCCTTTTCCTTCCCGTGCTCGTTCTCCTCGTCTTCATCCTCGTCCATGTGCTTGTCTTCCGCCGCTTCGTCGTCGTCGTCCTGGTCCTCCTCGCTTCCCCCTCGTCCTCCACGCTGTCCTCCTCCTCACCCACCTCCTTGTTCCCCTCCTCTCCCTTCTTTCCTTCTTCGTTTTGCGAGCCGAGTGGACGAAAGCGGCGCTTCACGTTTTTGTCGGCTCAGGCTGTCCCCGACAGTCCCCAGCGATGATCGTGCTTGCCCTCTGCCGCTGCCGCCGCCGATTCCTTCGGTTCAGCCCTGTCCCCGTCTGTCCCTGGTCCCGGTGTTTGCCCTTGATTCGGGACAGTCATCGATTGTCGTCATCCGCCGCCGCCGATTTCCTCCTTGGCTCGGCCCTGTCCCCGATGGTCTCTGGCCTTGCTGCTTGCCGTCCGCCGCCGCTGCCCATCTCCTTGCTTCGGCCGCGTCTCTGACTGTCCCGGGCCCTTGTGCCTGCGCACCTCCCTTTTGGCCCGTCGTGTATCGTCGCGCATCATCATCATCATCATCATCATCATCATCATCACCACCACCACCACCACCACCATCATCATCATCATCATCATCATCATCATCATCATCATCATCATCATCATCATCATCATCATCATCGTAATCATCATCATCATCATCATCATCATCATCATCATCATCATCATCATCATCATCATCATCATCATCATCATCATCATCATCATTACCCTCATCCTCACCCTCCTCCTCCTCATCTTGCTTGGGGCCTGCGCTCTGGTCCCATACTGTGGCCAGCGGTGCGAGAGGTAGGTCGCAGACAGGGGCTGAAGGGCCCAGGTTGAGCCCTCTCGAAGCACCCGAACGCATCGGCACTCCTGAGCCGACCCGCCATAGGTACGGCTGCCCCAGTTCTTTCGCACTGCTGGCTTGACCTCTTCGGGCCAGCACCTGAAGCTCATGCGATTGGGACTCTCGTCCTCCTCCCGCTCCTCCTCCTCCTCCTCCTCCTCCTCCTCCTCCTCCTCCTCCTCCTCCTCCTCCTCCTCCTCCTCCTCCTCCTCTCCCTCTCCTCCTCATCCTTCTCCTCCTCCTCCTCCTCCTCCTCGTCCTCCTCCTCCTCCTCCTCATCCATCCCTTTTCCTTGTAAGTAACTCCTCATCGCACCACCCCGAGACGTGCTGGTAGGGCGGCCGGGCGCCTCGCTTCAGGGATGGAAGGCGGGTGGTTTTCAAAATGTGGCTCTCGCTTTAGCACCGTGTACATTCGTTTCAAATGTTTGCAACAGCTTCTCGGATGGAGGGCGGGTAGTTTTCAAAATGTGGGTATGGCCGTAGCGACGGGCGCATTCGTCTTAAAAGTTCGCAGGTGTTTCACAGATGGTGGGCGGTACGTTTTCAAAATGTGGTTCTCGCTTCAGCGCCGCGCATATTCGTCTTCAAATGTGCAGGAGATTCGCGGATGGATTGTGGCGTTCTTCGAAATTTGATTCGCGACTTGGCGCCGCGCACATTCGTTTCAAGAATTTGCGAGAGCTTCACGGATGGAGGGTCGATAGTTTAGTTTTCGCCTTAGCGCCGCGCACATTCGTTTTAAACATTCGCAAATGTTCCACGGATTGTGAGCGGCACGTTTCCAAAATGTTGTTATCAAGTTTGCTGGAGCTTCGCGGATGGATTGTGGCTCTTTGCGCCGCGCACAATCGTTTTGAAAGTTTGCAAGAGCTTCACGGATGGAGGACGGGTAGCTTCCAAAGTACAGTTAACGCCGTAGCGCCGCGCACACTCGTCTTAAACATTCGCAAGTGTTCCACGGATGGTGTGGTGCACGTTTCCAAGATGTTGTTATCGCTCTGGCGCCGCGCAGATTCGCCTTCAGAGTTTGCATGAGCTTCGCAGATGGATCGTGCTTCTTTTTCAAAATGTGATTCGCGATGTAGCCCGCGCATATTCGTTTGAAAGCTTGCAGGAATTTCACGGATGGAGGGTGGGTGGTTTTCAACATGTTGTTCTCGCTGTAGCGCCGCGCAGATTTGTCTTCAAAGTTTGCAAGATTCTCACGGATGGCAGACGGTTCTTCTTTCAAAATGAAGCAATCGCTTGAGCACCACGCACATTCGTTGTGAATGTTTGACCGACGGATTCGAATGTTTATTTTCCCGCGGATGGTGCTGCGGCACGGTTTTGGATTGTCAGGGCGCAACAATCTCGTTGATTCGCGGTGTTGGAGCCACAGGACTGGAGTTCTGGCACGATTCAGGGTCGCCAGGACGCAACAGTATAGTTGATTCGCGGCGTTGAAGTCCTATCAGTGGTGTGTTGACACGACTGAAGACTCTCAGATGGTTGTCTGCCAACGCAACGCCTCCAGATGTGAAAAATCATCTTCGAAGGGACCTGTAAAGAGGGGAACGTGGAGGGAGGGTGTATTACAACATCGTTAATACATCTTGTGTTTGTAGTGATCCTCCTCCTCTTCCTCCTCCTGTCCTCCTCCTCCTCCCCGGGAGGCGGTTCGAGAGAGTCCATCGCGGGCGGACCTCAGAGGTGGCCGGTCCCAGCCTGGACCCTGCAGCCTCGTCGGCGGGCTCCCTGCGAACGCGGCAGGCCGTGGCGGACCCCGGCTTCCGCTTCGGGGCCCCCGGCGCGCGGGCCCGCACCTGCTACGACCAGGTCGGCAAGGACGCCCTGGAGCCCAGCGGCCTCGCGGAGGACGGAGGGGGCGCGCGGTCTGGGCAGAGCCAGCGGCGAGGGCCACGTCGGCGGCCCCAGCAGAAGCACTGATCGGCCCGTGCCGGGTTGCTCGAGCCTCGTGGCTGTGGTTGCCACCTCCAGGCACGCGCATGGCTCGAAAATTTCGAGCACAGTCTTCGTTTCAGGCTGTGCGACGTTCGTTTGGGATTCTCGGCATGCTTCTGCAAGGGGTACGGCACAAGTGCGACATCCTCTTGCTCATGGCGCCGTGTGAACTGAAGTCTCTCCAAGCTGAGTCACTGCACTCTCACCATAAGTTTCCATATTGGACCCCTCCCACTTTTAGTATGTAGTAGGGCCATAGGCCAGGATCCGCCATAGCTTCTTGTTGCAGATGGTTCCACTGTTACGGCAAATTTCTATGGTTTGCTCTGATGGTTGATTCTTATTGCCGGAAGTCATGGCCAGTTCATATGATAGATTCCGAGTTAATTTAGCCAAGTCTTTCAGGAGTGTGTGCCCACTTGCTTGTGTTTTTGCTTGCATGTATGATTCAAGACGCTCCGCGCTCGCCTCCCGCCCTTTCCAGTTCTCACCGAGTGTGTCGACGGTGGCCGAAGACGATGCTCGGCGGCTGGGCGAAGTACCCCTCGACGGTGCGAGGGCACACCCAACATGGACCCAATACGGCCTGGAGGCAGCTCCAGAGCGGCCAACAGGAGCCCAAGAGGGCCTCGAAAAGCAAAGGGCCCAGAGAGAGGGGGCGAGGATGGACCCGAGGCGGACCGGCGGGCTCCCGGATGGTCTGAGCACGAGCATTCCCGCGTTGGGCAGCAGCCATGGCCTGTCTTGCATTGGAGGCTGGCCAGTGTCTGCGCCTGTTTGGGCTTCGTTGGAGGGGCGAAGTTGGGTCCAGAGTCGTTGAAGACTGGTCCCAGAGCTCGTCCACGAACGGCGGAGAAAGTTGCGTGCTGAAAGGAAGGCCTACAGGAGCCCGAAAGCATGATTCAAGAGGCTTGCGCCATTCCGCCGACCCCCCCGAGAGGTGGACTGGCGACAGTGATTTGTTCTGCTTCCCGCATCCCCGGCAGCCCGTCCAGAAAGGATGCCCAGGCGATCAGTCGGGAGCAAAGATCAGCATACAGCGAAGCACACGGGCCAACAATGCTGAACTCCGAGACCTTCAGGAGCCTCTTGGGGCCCACTCGCGAGCGTTCTTGAAGCCGCGCTGGGGCTCCGCAGGGGCTCTCTCGGGGGCCGCAGGGGCCCTCCTTGGAGCCGTCCTGGAAGCCATCGGTCCGACAAGAGGGGGTCCCACATCGGGGGTGGACAGAACCCCCAACAGGGACACGTCGATTAGTGAATTGTCCGTTTTCGGTTCTCGAGAGGGCGCCGTGGTCGTTATTTTCCAGGCTTGCGCCCGCCAGGTTTGGGCCTCAGGTCGTTTCACTAAACCACGTTTTACTAAAGGGGGGTCTGTCCATCCCCGACTACATTGGGATCCCTGCCTGGAGCCTGAAAGTTCGCCTCTTCGGGCCCGTTGGGACTCCATTGGGGCATTTTGAGGGGGCCGCCGGGGCCGTCTTGGAGCGAGTCTGGGCCCCTCTCGGGTGCTCCCGTCGGGGATTCTGGCGCCATCTTGAGGCATCAGAGGCGCATCGGAAACGAAAAAGCGGAAAGGCAAACGTAGGTGTGTATAGGTAAATGCATGGATTGAAGATTTGGGCCTCTTGGAGGTATCGTTGGGTTGCTCGGCGGCCTTGGATGACATATTGGGCATGTTGGAGGCTCGGAGGGCGGAATCGGGGGCCCTGATGGTATGGGAGGTGCGTTGACGAGCTCGTGCCGCGCCCATGCCCCCTTCAAACTGCACTTTGGAGCCCCGGGGAGGGGAAGCGGGGGAGGGGGGCAGCCAATCATCGCATACACCTTCTCACCCCCGGCAAGCGGGGGTCTGCGACGCGACTCGAACGGCCACAACTCAGAGCGAGTTCCGTGCGACGATTATGCGATGAGCGAGTCGGAAAACTATGACGACGACGCCGCGTGCACAGGGGCCCCACAGTCCGAAAAGGCCCCGGATGAGCTCGTCCCCCAGTCGCACGGGGGTCGCCTGACACAGCCCCCCCTCCCTCAAGCGCGCAATTCGGAGTTTGGTGGGGGACTATGGGGGGAAAGAATCTCGCGCGCTTGGAAACCCATCGGGTCGGCGGATTGTACGCTTGCTCTGCATGCTTGAATCCTCGCTTGTTTGCGTGCATGTTTGCTCGCTTGCACGCATGCTTGCGTGCATTATTGTTCGCTTGCATGTTTGCTCGTTCGACTGCTCGCGTGGGTGGGTGCCCGCATGCGTCGTTGCATGCTTGATGGCATGAATGCTTGTGGTTGCGCTCGCATGCGTACTTGCATGCGTAGCTGCATTATTGCATGCTCATTATATTGTGTGACTGATAGTGCGTATATTTCCTCGCACGCCTGCGTCCGTGTGTTGACTGTTTGCATCCACTACGTCTTACTTGCATGCATACTCGAATTCCTCCCTTCTTCTCTTCGTGCATAAATGCCGTTCATGCTGTCTGGCGTGTGATTGTACATGCGTACCTGCTTGTTTGCGTGTGTGCTGGATGTTTTGCTTGCTTGATTGCCTGCGTGCTTCGCGCACATTACTACCGGCAGGTATGGCTGCGTGTTTGCATGCATGCTCGCATTGTTGTTTGCGCGAGTTTGTTCGTGAATGCTTGCTTGCACTGCTTCTCGGTTACATGCCTTCACACTTGGGTACATGCATGCAGATGTGTCTGCTCGATTGCATGTTGAAGCGTGTGTGCATGCGTGCGCGCTTGCTTGCTTGTCTGCTTGCTTGCTTGCACGATTGCGTGCACACGCACTTACAGAAAGGCACAATGTTTGTTTGTATGGCTGCTAGTTTGCATGCTTGATTGAATGCCTGCGCACATTGCCTGCGTTCTTGCTTCCTTGTATGCTCGTGTGCGCCCACGATGGCCTGTTCGCTTGCCTGCGTGTTTGTGTACTCGTTCTCTTGCAACCGTTTCTGTCTGGAGCCCACGCCAGCAGAAATCGGTACTTCGTGATACCAGCAAGTCCCTTTGAGGGGGAAGCAGCGCGACTGGCGTGGGCTCTTGACCTTGGTGCCCCTTGCTGCCTCGCGAGTCACACGAACGGATTTCACCATCTCAACTCTTACCCTCTCTCCTCCTCTGTGCCCTTTCCACGTGTCGTCCGCTCATTTGTTCCTCCTGACCTCCCATACCCTGAGACTTGGCACTCCCCACTCGAGATCCATTCGCGTGTGAGGGGGGGGGGGCGCTGCTGGAGGGCCAACGGCGACTGGAGCGGAAGCCTGTCTCAGACGAGCACCAGAGACAGGACCTGAGTCGCGACTCTTCATCCTCCATTCCGTGGCCCTGGCCTCCCCCCCCCCAGCCACTCAGGCTCCAGACAGAGCCGCCAAGCACCCGCGCCGTCCCCGCCAGCAACCCCTGAGCCTCAGAGCCGATGGCGGTGGTCCCGCGTCATGTGCGGCCCGCGCCTCGCTCTGCTCTTGCAGGGCGGGCCGCGCGACTACTCTGCGGCGGTGTCCCGCCTCGTGCGCTCGAGCGCGTGGCAGGACGCGCTGGCCCTGGCGCGGGAGCTGCGGCGAAGGCACGCGCGGTGGCGGGGCCGGCTGCTGGACGGGACGTCGTGCGGCGCCGAGGTGGCCGCTTGCAGCAAGGGCTGGCAGTGGTCGGCCGCACTGGCCCTCCTGGAGGAGGGGCGCGCTCTGCGGCTGCGGTGCGGCACCCCTGCCTGCGGCGCAGCCATGAGCGCCTGCGCCGGGCGCCGCCACTGGCGCCTCGCCCTCAGGTCAGGGAGGGCTCGGCCCCACTTGCAAACCGGCCCACGCTGCCCACGTTACAGGCGAATCACCCGCGGCCGCCAGCACGCAAGAGGGGGGGAGGTGGCGGGGGGGGTTGTCAAGGATCGGGGTCGTCATCCAAGGGGATTGTTTTTTCCCCACCCTGTCAGGCTGCTGGCGGGCATGCAGGAGCGGGGGCCCGAAAGGATGATCCCGACGGGGCCAGGGCGCTGCGGTCGTCGCAACATGTCGTCGTCAGGGTAAAAAGCAAGTCTGGGTCAGATCGAAGGTTGATATGTAAATCAATTGGTGCGCCAGTCCGCGCTTTGCTTGCGTGAACGACCTTGCTACCCACGCTCCATCCAGAGCTGCGCTACTCTAGCACACCGTCCGTCCTAGAATGCA